GTGATTTATCCTCCCTGCCTCACACCTATTGAAGAGTCAGTCAATTAGAAGATAAAAGCAATGGAGCACTTTGATTCACTTTCCCCTGAAACAGCCATGATCTTCTGAATGGTTTGTATGTTAGTGTAAAGACAAGCAAAAAAAGAAAAAGGAAGATATGGAAAACCTTTTAAATTCAGTTCTAATTCACTTTGGGTCCTAAATCGGTTCCTGAAAAGTCTGTCATGTGCACGTTATGGTCACACTCAGTCTACACAGTTTTCCACACATTCTGACGGCAGGTCTGCACAATTTGCGTCTTGTTGTGTCTCAAACAGTATATCTGATAGATTGAATCTATCATATTAACATACATTGTGCCAACGTAGACCAAGGACCTGCTTGCGGATGTAGGTAAATTAATTGTAATCTCCTTGTACTTGTTGTTGAGGCAATAAAGAAGCTTGAACCTTGCGAGAAAAAGCTGTTAAATCCAGTGAGAATATATTTTATTTTAATAGCACAGCAAGCATGATGAACCTAAAGTGTCACAGTTACAAATGTTTTGATATTGTGCTCTTCTGTCAGCAAATTGTTTTCCATCCACTGTTGGAAAAAACTAGAAACCATAAACGGCTGCATTTATTGGGTAGCACTTTTGTTCTGTGGTACTATACTATCTTCTTTCATAAGTCTTGGTTTTGCTTACAATAGTTTGTGTATTCTGAAGACCGTGCAGTGTTGGCAAAGATATAAAAGGCCCTTTATAAACTGGCTGTTTTTGTAGAAGAGGTTTTGCTCTGTCGCTGTTAGCCATTGGGTTGAAGACATTGAGAAACATTTACTGGCCTGGCTGTCGCCAATGGCCATAAACACAATATTGAATGTGTCGTAGCCTTTAGCCAGTGCCAAAATAGCTGCAGTAGGGAATGGTTGGCCATGAAGACTGGTCAGAGTCTATGAAAAATAAAGACGTACCCGTCACGCCAACAATGTGTGGACTCGGCTTCTGTCGAGACATGGGATTATTGCAGAAAATGTGGGGAAGAGGTATGGAGACAGAGACAGACCTAGCAGCAGACTGAGATGGAGGGATGGGGGCATGAAGACAGATAGAGGGGTAGAGAGGGTGAGCAGGGTGGCAGAATGCCGAGCAGACGGATCCTGGTATGGCAGGAGCTCTGGGCAGGCGTCAGCTGTCTCTCGTAGACCCCCTGGGGCCACTCAGAATTCACACCCAACTACCCTCCACTGTTTTTTTCACAACAGCTACATAAAGTTAACACTGATACCCCAACTATGAACGAAGAAAAGCTTAGACTTTCTTTTTTTTCCAACAATAAGAACATCAGAAAATGTATATCTTTGACAGAATGTACTAACATGAAGCCAAAGTGAATCAGTTTATAGCCCAGATCGACCTCACTCAACATTCCTTTAACAGTCATCTTACCCAGGTTATTTCGTCCTAGTCTAGGCCAGCCTATCTGAGGGTGAAGAGCTGAAGGGTACCGATGAGACGGGTGTCTAAGTATGTAGGACGCCGTGTCTATGCTGCGCCTGCTTCATACAGGCCCTGTGACAAGTCGAGTCATGAGGGAGCATCATGAAGAAGGAGTTTAATTAGGAGCAAGCCTCCAAAGGGGCCACAGAGAAAGACACAGAGCCACGCTAGCATACACAGCGTTTATTGGAGCCTTTCCTCTCTGTATCTGATACTTTTTCTCCTTCGTCCCTCTCACATTTCCTGCAGCTTGTAAAGTCAACTGTTCACATTGTTGTAGTTTGTAGCTTTAGCGCTGTTCTCGTCCTCCACTCTATTTCTCCATTAATTGTTCCCTCCTGAGAGTTCCTGGTTTTCTCGCTTCGCAGTATGTCCACATTTCGTTTTTTTTCACTTGTGTTAAACTGCAGTCTTTGTTTGGTGCGTATTCTAAAATATTTCAAAAACGCTACAAAAATCATTAAAAATGTATAATAAAAATGACACATTTTTAAGTACAATAAAATGGCTTTAAACTTAAATGATGCTCCATGCCAGCAGCCATAGTGAGAGAGCAAAATAATGAGCATTTCTTTACAGTATCTGAAGACCCGAGAAACTTGATAAATTGAATTGAATTTTAATATAGGAATAATAATTTGGGCAGATGTTATGTGCATAAAATTCATTGCACTAGTGAGCCGCACCAAAGTTTCTGTTTAATCCTGAGAATATTATCATATTCCCCAAAGACTCTATTTCCATGGCAGCTCTTCTTACTCAAACTTCTCTTTCCTTCAAATTGTAAAAACTGTTGCCGTTCCTCCTTCATGATCACTATTCTTTCAGTCAAATCTGAAATGTATACATCTCTCATGTGTCTTGTATAGTGTTGATGTCACTAAGTAACAGCCGTCAAGCCTTGTTTGGAGCAGCAGGCGGAACAGAAATACATATTCAGGGCACAGATGAAGCAATGGGCTATTAGAGAAGGGGGACATTTAAAGGATGATGAGATCTGGGGGGCGTAGAATGGTAGGACACAGAGGTCCTTCTATGGCTGTATAAGTGCTCCAAGGGCTCTGATTGGTTGTTGGGTTGTGTGTCAGCCTTTGGCAACAGGTGTGAAGTCTGTAAACAGGTGGGCATAACTGGGATGAGCAGCATACCGCCCTTGTACCGCGCCCTAGATGTGCTGAGCCCTGTTGGGACGCTAAGCCTGGGCCACATGCTTCGAAGTCATGTAACACCCAGGCTCCCTGAACTTTATCAACACCCGATGCAACCACAGCCCAACCCCCCTGCAGGACCACCAGCTTAGTTACCCCATATGGGTCTCACCTTTACCCCAGCCCTTGCTCTCCATTTCCCAGAATGGAAGTGAGTGAGCTGCTTGCGGTAGGTGGTAGAAATACGTGCAAAGTAGGAAGAAAACTTGTTTTTTCTTGCATGCATTCTCCTGTGAACAGAAAAAGGCCAGCAGTTCAGCGCTTGTCAGCTCGATATGATGCATCGCCAAGGCCGGAATGAAACTCCACAAAAGAAACAGCAGAAAAAAGTTTTTTTACATCTCACGCCTTTGCCAAAAAAAGACAGCATGCTAAACCTCTGCAACCCCTTTGTTCTCTTGACTCATCCACCTCAGATCGAGCAAGAGTGCCTGATTCACTGCAGGTCTGTTAGAAGTCAGATCTCCTGCATCGCTGCTGTTGATTTGTTTGGTGTGATTTCCTGAAGACTGTCAAAGATGTGAGAGAAGCTTTCAAATTCAGAATTCCAGATTTCCACTCTGGGAGGCCAAGTGAGGATTCAGCGAGAAAGAGGAGGAGAGCCAGTGAATGTTGACACGCTTACAGTAGCTGCCTCGCCACGAGACGCCTCAGGAATCAAACAGTTATCACACACACAAAAGGAGCCCTCTAAGTTCACTAAAACCACACTCAAAACAGCCCTTTGTTGTGCTGACATGAGAGATGACTGGATTGTTATTTGTTTTCTAAGCAGGCAGATCGCTCCCTGTCACTCCTGCTGCTGGTTGTGATGGAGGAGCTAGCTTCCGTGAGCGAGTACTGACGGAGAAAAAAAACAAAAATGAGAGGAAGAAGTTCACTGAGATTAACTTATCTTAGCATCTATCTTCCTCCTTTTCTCCTGCTCGGTCTCTCTCTCTCTCTCTCTTTTTTTTTTCTTGACGCTAACACCCACTCATACACACCCACACATGCACACACAAACACAGACTCATTCCCCTCTTTCCCCTCCCACACACAGACACTCACACCAGCAGATACACACACACACACACACACACACACACACACACACACACACTACAACATATTCGGAGACGCAGCAAGAGAGAGGCAGAGAAAAGAGAGACACACACTTGATCAGCATCAAATACAGGCTGTACTAAAGTAAATTTAATTACGTCTGTCTGATATGGAGCTTCAGATGAAAGTAGGAGAGCGCAGTGTGAAGCGACGACTGCACAGACAGGAGCAGGCCCGTGATATTCCTCCTGTAGACTAATCTCCCTTTATTAAAGCCAGGAGGAGAGAGAGGGAAGGAGGGGGGAGTGGGGGGGGGCGGCTGGGTGTTGTGGGGAGGGCTTTGATGAGATCTCTAACTGTCAGCTACTGTACTTTTCTTCTCTCCGGCTCTGTCTTTGTCTCTCACTTTCCGAGGCAAACGAACACAGCACCTCGCGCTACGTGCCTGCTTGCTCAAGCAAACATACCCGTGTGCTATCACACACAGTAATGTGCTCTGAAACTTATCCCTGTTGTTATGGTTGTCAACAATATCTAAGGAAGGACACGGGCAGCTCTCTTTGTGTGTCTCTGCCGCTCAGAGGGAGTGGAGAGCGAGTGGAGAGTCTGCTGTTTTCTGGCCACTCTTACGGGGGCAGGTGGCCATCAGGTGGCCAAAACAGAAACTGCCACATTTAAATAGCAGATACACCACAGTCATGAACTCCTCCCCTGTGTTTAAGCTCGATCTTATGACCAACAAATGATTATAGTTGTGGAATATGTTTTACTTTTATGACTTTTTCCCCTTCCTGCCTAATTATGAGGTTTCAAGGTCCCAGGATTTGTCATCTGGTCAAGAGTTTGATCATTTGTTATGTCTCATTATTGATGCGATCAGATCCTCTGTGCCATCTTGAATGTTTATATGTATATGTGTACTTGTTCAGGAAGACGTCAGTGTATCCTTGTTTCACCCCGAGTTGAAGGAGGTCAGAATGGAGCCTGCCAAAATGATTCATTGGAAAGTTCAAGAACTCTTGCAGAAACGATTCCTCAGACATAACAATAAATAGCGAAAGTACTGAAAATCTCCAAATAAAATGGTGATAGTCTTTTGTGAAGTCATCTCTAAATGGCTTTCCAAACGCTGTCTAATTGGACTTGTCATTTGCAGGATTTTTTCTGAAAAAAAAGTGTCCCCTCACAGTCATCAACATCTGTCCTTTCACCTAGTTAACATCCCGAAAGCCCTTCAATTGTTTGTGTAACTGCTCTGTTTGCAGACGTTGAGAAAGAAGGGCCTAAACGGCTGTGACAGCCCAGACCCCGACGCAGATGACTCGGTAGGCCACAGCCCCGAGTCCGAGGACAAGTACAGGAAAATAAACGAGGACATTGATCTGATGATCAGCAGACAGAGACTGTGTGTAAGTACCTCTCATTATTCCCCGAGCCTTCCTCTTACCTTTCTTTCCTCTCTTTCCCCTTTTTTTTCTCCCTGTCACTTCGTCCTTGTCTCCTTGTTTTTCCGTCATCTGTTCCTACCACCCGCCCGTCTCTCCGTCCCTTCGTCTGTGTCTCCATTCGTCCGTCTCTGTGGTTGTGGGGACCTGGCAGGCGTTGAACAAGAAGGAGAACAAAGGCAGCGAGAGCCCGGAGCTCGAGTCTGCTCTCATCCTTACCCCACGCACTGAGGAGAAATACAAACAGATTAATGAGGAGTTTGATCACATGATTAAAACCCATAAGATACCTGTAAGTACTGGGTTGACACTGTGCTACAGGCTAACAACACGCTGACTGGCCTGTAACTGTTGAGCTAACCCAGCTAACCACTAGTGTTTGCCTGTAGACTAAATACACAAAAAGAGAGTGAAAGTAAAACAAGAGCAAAATTATATTGTTGCTTAAACTCCTTTGATTTGACCTGATTACAGCTGAGGAATGGTCCTCTAATTTAACAGAACTGTATATCTACAGTAATTGCAGACTTTCTCTCTTGACAAATTTTTAACCTTACCAGGTTCTCTCCTTGAACCCGTTACCCATAATGCCTTTCTCTGGCTCTCGAGGGAGCTGCGGTCTGCATGTGCTTTTCCTTTTTCCTGCAGAAAAACACAGAGCTCATGTGCCCGCAACAAGAAGGACAGACCATGTGGTGATGAAACAGTATAGAAGACATTTGAAAAAAACAAACTTAAATACGATACCCAAGTTAACTTACTTGCTTAAGCGTCATTAAAGCAGCATCTTTTTTAATGAACATAAATATTTTTAGATATGCAAAATGATAGATTTTTACATTTCAGTGTTAATTTCACAGAAGTACCCAGAAACCACAAAAGAGAGGCAGCTTTCTATGTAATCTAAGCCTGCCCTTTATTCAGAAAGCACCATATTAGAGTGGTTAGTGCTCTTTAGAAAAATATAATTCCATAGTAGATAATTCAGAGAAGAACAGTGGTGTCTAAGCCGTGTGGAGCAGAGAGGGGAGATGTGGTTAGAAGCAAGGCAAGGGTTTGTGAGCTGGGGTGGAGTGAGTTTGGGATTGTAGCTGGGGGGGTTGGGGTAAGGGGGTATGCACACAACAAGTGGCAGTTCAGTGTGTGGTCAGGGTGGCTGCCAGCACTGGGCCTCTGGATTGCAGGGGACTGTGTGTGGGGAGAGGCAGAGGAGGAAGATGAGTGAAAACAGGAAGGATGGCACCAGTTAAAGGACAGCTCACAGACGGGGCCCTCACACCCAGTAATTGAGTGAACGTACACGCAAAACAAACGCACACAGATACCTCCCCCACTATTAGAAAAAAACTGCACAGAGAGGTCATGAGGTACAAAGACTCCCAACAAGGAATCTGAGATGAAGAAATTGCAGAAAAAGGGAAAACCATAGACAGCCCCTCACTGGTTGAAAAAGAAAGCATCCATCGTTTTTGGCTAGCCCGCTCCTGTGTAAAGTTGCAGTAAAAGCAAAATGTGCAAAAGCCCTTCAATGAAATATGGTATAAGTAACAGTCATTGTACTTTAAAATAATATTTGGCCTGCAATAAGGACATTAACAAAGGGGAGAAGATGGAAAAAAAGACGTAAAACTGTTAAGAAACATATACCACATCCACGTACACCAGGGCTGATGATCTCTCTTGTGCAGTCCCTGGGACACATGGCAGTAATTTAGGGCCCTATTTTCTACTTCCTTAAGCTAACATGCAGGATCAACCACTTCCAGGGCACTCCCAAGGTTAAGCCCATCAGCCAAGTGACACAATAAACATGACAGAACTAGACGCCTGGGGCCTGCAGGCTAACCTCTTCACGTGTTCCTGGTGAGATTGCTGACTAATGGGAGTCTACTGCTTAAAAACACATTATAGACTAGCTCCAAAAAAGGTTTCCTTATTGCGTTTAGCGCTCCAGTCTTGAAGCAACTTTTGAAAAAAGTCTGAGGGATCTCCTTTTTTTTAGCAAGTGAAGACAGACTGAATTATCTATTGCTTGTTAACAACAGCGGGATGCTGTTGGCTTCCAGTAAACCATAGGCTGCTTATTTCTTCAATGTAGTCAACCAGGAATGCAGCTCAGGGAATTTAAATGCAGTGACCACATCAGGTCAACCCTCTGCTGCACAATGACACAAATCCTGACATTTCAGAGATAAAAATGGAGTCCTTACAGAATCATTTTAAGCAACCAACTTATACTAGATCAAGTTGGAATGCCAAAGTTTTGCCAACACGTTTATCACCCTGAGATGAGTTTTTTTCGCAGCTTTCCCTTTCCTTTGTATGGAGTGCTCCCTTTCATCATCCATACTGTCTTGTTTTGTTAGTTTGTTAGTTCTCTTTCTATCCTTCTCTGCAAGACGTGTTTGTTGTCAATGTATCTATATTGTCTGTCTCTGCCTTTTATTCTTCTCTGTTATGACTAAATCTAGAGTAACGCTGGAGATCGTCTAGATTTTTTATTTGTTTTACTTCCTTGGAGTTTTTTTCTGACAGATTTCTTTCTGTTTTGGCGTCCATTTCTCTACTCAAGTTCCGTGGACTCCTTTGTCTAATCAAACGTATATCTGTGTCTCCCCCCTCTCTTTCTCTGCAGGCCGTGCCCCAATCCAACTACGACATGCCCGTGTCCATTCCTGTCAGCAACCAGAACAATCTCATCTACAGCCATCCCGGCGGTTCCCTAGGCAACCACAACCTGTTGCCACTGGCGCACCACGGCCTACAGAGAAACAGCATGTCTCCCGGAGTGACTCACAGACCCCCCAGTGCAGGTAACGCAGGTGGAGCCTCACATGCCCTCATGCACATGCTTTTATCCCATCTGTCCATCTTTCCTATCTCTCAGAGTGTCTCCTTCTAAGTTCAGCTAATGACTAGACTAAATGGACATTAGATAAAATATTTCAAGATTTTATAAATGATGGAAGTCAGAAATGTCAGCATAAAATTATCAAAAAGTAAAACATGAGAAAACAAATGCCAGGGATAAAAGTAATTTAGAAATGAATGAGAAAGACTCAGAATCCCGTTATAGCATTGGCAAAAATAAAAATAGACACACACATGAAATTCACCAAATTATTTTTATGACAGCTAACCGCAGTATTCCTTCTAAAGTCAGTAGATTAATCTGAAACCATCTCTCTGAAGTGCACAAAGCAAGTGGATGATTTAATGTCTTATTAAGGCTGTAGCCCACATTCTGGTTGATTTAATGCGAGGGACTACACATGGGACGTCTGGCCTCTATGTATAGGCATTGAGGTGCTGGTGACATAAGCAAATTAGGCCTGTTGGTTTGTTATTGTTGTCCAAAGTCCTTTTTCTGTCCCTCTGGTCTAAAGGCTGCTGCCCACACGCTCACCCTGTCATTACAACTGAATGCTGTGAGCGCCAGCACAAACTAAATATGAGCTTTGGCGCTCGCAGCATCCACACCGAACCGCACAGACCCTTCCACTCCTCCACCTCGCATGGCTTGAAAATAATAATGTGTCATTTTTCTTGGACGGCCGCTTTATGTGTCCAGTTTTTCAAAGTGTAAAGGTTTGAGTGGGAAGCAGTATTACTTCTGGTATCGGTACACAATACATACAACACATACACAGTGGATTGTGATTAAATTGAGTTAGCTTCTAAAAAGGCCAGTGAGGTAAGAGACAGGAGGCAGAGTGGATGTAACGTGGGTGTCTATCCTCTAATGGTTTTCACTCTTTCACTCTCCTCTCTCTTTCATCTTTCAGGTGGCCTCATGGGTGCTGACCTCACCACTGGCGCAGGCACCAGTGCTGGTAAGAAATGCTCTCCTCTCGCGCAGTGTCAACCCAGTACTTACACGCAGTTGTCTGCTAACACACATACAAACACCCTCACACACACACACATAGACATAAATGACACCCACTCACCCACTCGGGGCTGTAAAATGCATGACTAATAGTAACCCAAACCCAAGTGGAGATTTTGTCCATGATGTGTTGATGTTAGTGGTCGTGGAGTTCATCTGGGAATGTTTGCGCAGCACTGAGGCTGTGACACATCCTGCCTGCGTTCAGCTATAAAACGCCAGAACAAGTGGGGGGAAACGGAACATAATCACCCTTTATACTGAAGCTGCAGACTGACTGACAGGCTGTCAGTGGAAATTTAAGGTTACATTTTCTCTTAGTAATGAGCCAAATCTTTATTTCTCCGTCTTCTTTGGGTTTTGAATTCAAATTGACATCACCCATAGCTCCAAGTTGGACCAGCTTGTTTTGCTATACAAACTCTCTGCACAGTTAACTGCTATCATATGTCTTCAATCAAATTAATCCAATGTTTGGAGTGGCTCACCATGCCGTAATGATCCTGTGGAGAGCAGAGTAACCCTTGTCTGAACTACATGTGTAAGGAATCTTATGTGTTAGCTTCTGTGTTTCTGTGGAATTGTCCCTGAGGATGTGTCAGGCCCGAGTTTATGGCATGGACTCTTATTTAAAGGGTTACATTTTACTGCCACAGCATACAGTGCATAATGGAAAAAGAAAGAAAGTAGGGGGCCAATGGGGGCACAGCTGGGCAGCCTCGTCTGGCCTCAAGGGCTCTATCACATGGGGTCAATGCCTGGTTTCTCTGTCTGGTCACTCATCACACACACAACAGGACCGTTTGTTGTGGCGTGTGTTCTGTCGACGGCGTGCTGCAGAGCGTGCTTCAAATGTAGCCTTTGTGTCACCACACTTGAGGAACAGAGGCGCTCTGTGCGAGCTGTGTGTCGCTCAGCAGCGGCGAAAAACACGATGTAGAGAGAAAGAGTCATGTGAGAGCAAAAAGATTCCATTCAAAGCACTCTTAAATCTCATCGGGGGGGGGGTGTCAGGGGGTGGGGGCACAGTGATGAATATCCACTGATGGTGGAAGCATGTGTGCAAAGGAGACGAAGCAGGGGAACACAGATGGAAGTGTTCTCTGAACTTGGTCAGCCACTTTAATGATGTTCCTTTAAGTGAGTCAGGGTGAGGTGGCACCACAAAGACCAGTTTATTGTTCCTCTTCTCTTTACCGTGGAGTTTGATAAGATGATTGTACGAGTAACTGTCTGGCCTGAGTATGAGTGTTTTTTTCTTGGCCTGGCCTGATTGATGGGGGGTGGGGGTGGGGGGTGTTCTCTGTGTGTCTGTGGATACAAATGTTGTATGTGTGTATGGAAAAAACATGCACAAAAACACATCATCTTCTTTTGGCGTCAGATGTCATGGTTCCACTGTAGGAATAACTCTACCTGTGGTTCTCCAGTAGTTTGGATGGATTGTAGAAATGAGTAAATCTGTCGTATTTTTTCAACTTGTAAAAGAATCAACATCTCAGCAATAGTTTCTATTGATACTAAAACCACAAAAGATTATTTTTTTTCTCATTCCAGTTTAACAATAATTAAGGTATCAGTGATATTTAGAAACATTTTGAGTGTAATTGTAATAGGTTAATTTATGGTTCTATGAGGTCATTGTTTCCATGTCTGTCACAATACGCTGATAGACATTATGACATTATTCCAACTCAAACTTCACAAGGGGAGACAGAAAATGGCAAATTAAAAAGTTTAACACCCTGCGAGATTTGAGGTTTGTTGTTTGTTGCCTGGCAACTGGTCTTTCATGACTTTAAATACTTGTATTTCAACCTCAACTTACCATTTCTTGCAGATTTTGGATTAAGATTCACCTTGTTTTAATGACATCTAGATATCGTTCTTAAAATTTAGCCTGTTAATTTGAAGATAGATTTTTTTTTGTTAATCCTGCACATATAGGCTACATAACATGAAACCCAGACATGGGTTAAAATCTATATAAAACGTGGTCTGAAATTAATTCTAGTCCAGTGCAAAAAGGGAATGTTACTGAAGCTTGAATCCTCTTTTCTCTTCTATAGAAATAATTGTGTAAACTGTGCATGTACTTGTGTATTTTTGCTCATTCATAGTATGTGTATAATCTGTTAACTCCTCTGCTTGGTAGGAGAGAGTGAAAGGTGAGGAGGGATACAGACAGTGTGAAAGAGAGTTGATGAAGGGAGCTTCAGACAAAGGCCGCAGAGTGTAAAAAAACCTCCCACCTCCATTTGTGCAATTATGTAGCTGTCACGTACACTCCGATCAACACTCTGCGAGGACTAACGAGAAACTCACCTCACACTTTGATTATCCACCAATTAATCCATGAAATGAGAAACACACACTGAACAACTTAAAGACATCATCGAGCTTAAGAGCAACTGACAACAGCAGATCAAACAATGTGTGTCTCAATCTTTGGAAGCACCTCACACCAACTGTACAAGCTGTAAGCATAGGGTAACATCTTAGTTCAGTTGGAGAATTCAGGGTTGAATACACATTTGGCCAAACCGCAACGGAAGAGTGTGTGTGTATGGGGAATAGAACGGAGTGCGCCTGTTAGACCACAGAAATTTGTTCAGTAACAGTAAAATGTACACGAGTGTAACCACACCTCTCCTTTTTGTGTGCGTGTGTGTGCCTGTGCGTGTGTGAGAGAGAGAAAGAGACAAACACTTAAGGGGGGCCTTCTCAAACACAGGCATCACGAAGAGCGAAGAAGTTGTAACCATGGCATCTATAGAGGCAGATTGCGGTCCTTCAGCGTTGACTTCAGCTGTCTCCATACACTCCAAATAGCAAAGAGCTGTTTTATCTGAATCTCAGATCAGATGTCGTTCTCTATCTGTGACTTTTGTACTGTAGCAAAGCAAACTCCAGGCTGGGCTGTGTTTAATTTTGATACTTCCTCTAAACGGTTGACGCTAGCTCGACCATGCAGCAGAAACGCTTTAGAGGAGGAGGAGGAGGAGGAGAGTGGAAAATAACTTCTTGATATCAATTCTTCAGCTGATGAAAAGGATGTCGATATTGAATGCCACTGTCCTCACAGGCTGCAGAATAGGAAGATTTGAGTCCCAGCTCCTGCTTCATTAGCTTAATTAGCTAATGATTTTTCTTTTGAAGTGCTTAAGGACTGGCCTCTGCCACTCATGATCATACTCATCTAGCAGATAATTGACTGGATGGCAGCCATCTCCACAGGGCGGCAATACACAGATGTCTGATTAACCGTCCCCGAGATGAAGTCCGTGTCATCTTGACCAAAGTGTATATTAAAGCCTCTGCAGAGCTCCGTCTCTTTTTTTATTCATCTGTACAGAAACACTGATGTACTTCCTGCTGGGTTATTTACTAAACTGTGTGTGCATGCAGTTTGTGTGTGTGTTTTATGAGTGTGTGAAGTCTCATTCATCTATCTCCACATGCACCCACTCAATCTCACAAAGGGCCGAGCACGAGAATGAGAAAGCGGGAAAACTGAAGAGGCAGCTGCCTCTTTTTGCTAATGTGAGATTGACACTGGAACTAAGAGGGTCCAATACAAAACACACACGTGCATCCATACGCATAAGCAGTCATACATTTTGTCTTGTGAAGTCATACTATGCTTATGTACACTCAGTGTGACAGAAAAAAAAAAAGCGGCTTATTTATAAATATGCATAAAATTGCATGCAGCACATGTACAAGCGCACAAAGTCTGTCTTGTTAACATCAACTGCTACAAGCTCACACATCACACACGCCATCAGAGGCTCACACAAACACACACACCAGCAGTCACACACACTGTTTTTCTCGTTTTTCTGTCAGACGGCCTCATTTTCTCTCACCGCTAGCGGTCGTTTACTCTTCAGATTGTTCAAATTGAGCTTTTGAGACTTTTCATTTCCAAACAACAAAAACCTCGCTCTCAAATTAAACAAAGATCAGCAAGGGAAATTGCCCAGGAAGACATCTGCAACTCATTTTCCCCCGGAGTATATGATTAGGAAATTCATTTATGTCTAACGTATAATTCCTGCCCGTCTTTCAAGTGGGAACGTCCACACAGTGCCCTGTGTTCTACCCTTTGGAAGAAGGAAGGAGAAGTAAAGGGAAAAAACAGCCTGCGGGATTGGGTTAGAAACAAAGACTATGTTGCTTGCAAGAATGCTCCACTCCATTTTTTTTAATGATGTTACTGCTGGGATATGGTCCCGCTGGTTTTTGAGGAGGAAATGGGTGCTGCAGTCAGCCCTCCATACTTAGAGGGGGATGCAGATCTGGTGGCAACCCCAAGGCAGGGTCTTTGTCTGGAGGATCCGCACATGTGTTTAGCTCTGATGGACAAATGATGGGTCCCATCCCTCTCTGTGGTTCTGCTACCCATAATTAGATGTTTTTATACGATTCACTGGCTGTTGCCGGGCACATGTAACCTTAACTGACAGTGACAGAGGTGGAGGGTGAGGTGCTCGAAAGAGTGTGCGTCGTACGACTGCCCAGCAAACAGTGGTGATCCTCAAGGCAGGATCAGCATGACCTCTTTTTGTGTTACATTTTCATGAAATACTTTTTAAAAGTCAACTTGACTCACTGAAAAAAAAAAAAAAAAGGCTACACAATCCTGATTTACAAGATTCAACAGTTTTAATAACATGCAGCTGTGCCTTTGTTTGATCTACCAATGAACAACCATTATAATGTATGCCTTTCTCTCTCTTCTTCCTCACCTGTCTCAGGAAATGGATATGGGAACCACCGTAACTCTCCAGGACTGCTGGTCTCTCCAGGTGGCATGAACAAGAACATGCAGACTAAATCCCCCCCACCCATGAACTTAGGAATGAACAACCGCAAACCTGACTTACGTGTGCTCATCCCCCCTGGTGCCAAGAACAACATGCCCTCCATTGTGAGTAATCTCCTGAACTTTCCCTCTTCCATTCACTGTCCTTACTGTAGACCCCCCTCTATGTGTGGGGGCCATTTTTTTTATTTCCTTGTAGAACTCTGCTACTTCATCTCTTTATATCAGACTTGGGTTGATGAGATAATTACATTTTTTTTTTTCATTTTTGGCAGCTTTTTAAACATAAACTATTGTAAATATTTATTTTAATCCAAGTCTGATGTACTTTCAGATCTGTTTCCTCTGCTCTGTGTGTGTGTTGTCCAAAATATTACTCTTTAATATCTTTCTAATAAGGTGTGTTGAGTTAGTGCACTTACAATAGTTCTCCTTTGAAATTAGTTGTTTTTTCCGTTAACCTACTCCTACAGCAGCTCCATCCCTATAGATCCACTAGTCAACACTATTCTCACTTACACTCACTAATTTGAATTTATCACCCTCCCCCTTTTTAATGCTATCAGTCCGAGGATGTCGATCTGCTTCTGGTAAGTCAGATTGCCACTCAAATTTATAGATTAAAACTGCCCATAGCGGCCTTTAGAATCTGGAACTCAAATGTTTTATTTTGGCTTTTTTTTAATCACACACGTCTTGAGATAATTCTCAAATCTCTTTTTTTTTCCTATTACTTTCGTGATCTTAACAGATACAGAACTTTAGAAAAAAAGTAGTCTTGATTCTGGAGTATTTTTACCTTTATTGTTGCTGACTCTGCTCAAGCCAATGCTGTCCTCTCACTACATTTTGCGAGGGTAAATAGTGCCATCCAGTGGCACATTATAGGAACAGCAGCCTGGCCTCTTTTCTCCCTCAGCTTCCTCTCTTTTCTTGCTTCTTTTTCCTCTCAAAGGAATAACGAGTCTTGCTCTGCACACATACATCTGGCTGCTTTTATTTGTCTGACTATAACTATTAAGGTCCAGGAAAAAGCGGATTTTCATATAGCATCAAACCTCCATTATTTCCTTCCGAAGCCTCCCCTCTGCTACAGTAGTGCCTCTCCCTTGCCACCGCCACCCTGTGTTGCTGTGGAGACCAATGCTGTTACTATAGCGACAGCAGGCCCTCGGAAAAAAAAAAAGGCTGGTAAATGATAGGGTTGGCAGAGTTCAGCAGTGCCGTGTGTCAAGTGATTAATTTCCCCCTGAAGTTGGCATCACATTCATTCTCCCAGCATCTGTTGAGCGAAACAAAGAGATGAAAGAAAGTTTTCTTGGTTTTTATTGCAGTTTTTCTTTTGTTTGTTCTGTCTGGAAGTTGATTTCATATTTTCATGCATCTCCTCTCTCTCTGTCTCTTCTTCCTCTGACACAGAACCAGAGAATAAACAACTCTCAGTCTGCTCAGTCATTGGCCACCCCTGTGGTATCAGTAGCAACTCCCACTCTGCCAGGACAAGGCATGGGCGGATACCCATCAGCCATCTCTACTTCATATGGTACAGGTGTGTATAGAAGAGTGTAATATTTCGACATTAAATTTATTTGTGTACAAATATTCCATCTTTAGAATTCTATATGTATTTCTATTTTTTTAGTTAAATACATTTTCAAGCATTCTTTCCAATACCCAAAATAAAAGTACAAAAAAAGTGTCACGTTTTAATTTTTGTTATGAATCATAAAAAACATTTTGGCTCATGTCAGGTGTATGCTTCGCTTTTGAATCCTCCTTCCCATTTTTAAGTGTAATCTAACAGTCGCACAGCAGAGGGTGCTATTTGTCAAGGAACTAGCACAGGTCATGCCCATGTTACTTCACAGCAGCATTTTATCAGAGTGGCCCTCCTCTCTGTAACTTAAACTTGAGCTTCTGTGAACAAGCCTGTAATGTGCTTTCTTTTCTTTTTTGTGTTTGTACTCAGAGTACTCCCTCAACAGTGCAGACCTGTCCTCCCTCACCGGCTTCAACAGCGGCAGCTCCCTTCACCTCGGCTCGATGAGCGGGTGGCAACAGCAACACATTCAGAACATGCAGCATTCAGCCCTCGGCCAGCTAGGGTGAGTGTGCTCAGCTTAGTCTAAGGTGTTGTTGTGAAATGCATGATACAATTTTCACCAGCTCATTTGTCAAGATGCCAGACGTCCTTCTCTGTTTTCAACCTTCACTTGCAAGGTCCAGCACAAATATGACATCTCCCTGTTTTGAAGAGTGTGTGCATGCCTTGTTGTGCGACTGACTATAAGATCACTTTGTTTCTTGCTCTGTAACTCTTTAACCCCTTGCCTTTCCTTTCCTTCCAACAGAAATTGCTCTAGCTCTCACTTATGTCAGGGTTCAAATCTGTCCCTGCCCTCTGCTCAAAGCCTGCACATCAAGTCCGAACCTGTTTCTCCTCCTAGAGATCGCAGCAGCAACACACCGGGGGGCTACGGTGGCGTACCGCCTCCCCAGAACCCCTCGTCCCGCCAGGACTCGGGACGCTCCCCGGTCGATAGCCTGAGCAGTTGTAGCAGCTCCCACGAGGGCAGCGACCGCGACGAGCACAGGAACGAGTTCCACTCACCTCTGGGACTGGCCAGGCCCGCCATGGACGAGCGCGAGAGCCCCTCCATCAAACGGGTGCGCCTGTCAGAAGGATGGGCCACATGATAACTCCATCCTCTCCCCAGCAAGTGCCCCAAGTTGCCCTGAGCCCCCCCCCCCCCCGACAACAACACAGCGCTACAATGCCCCCAAGTCAACTCCCTACTCTTCCTTCTTTCACTCGATAACATGAGTCACTCACCGCTGACCCCACCGCCTCTCCTTTATCTCTTTAACGCTGAAGGAAAGAAAAGGGACAGCCCTTTTCAAAAATATGTTGATTTCTTTTTTTTAAATTTCTGTTTGCTGAGTGTGTGTGTGCTATACATATTGACATTATATAAACCAGTGGGGTGTTGTAATGGGGGTTTGGGAGGGCGGGTGTCGGTTGGGACGGGATCTGGGGGTATTTTTGTCGGGGAACTATGCATCAATTGTATTATGTGTGGCTAAAAAGAATCACGTATGCATATATCTTTACACGTGGGTGTATATGTGTGCATATATGCATATCAACAAATAAACAAAAAAATAGTCAGGTACTCCGTTTCATAAAACGTACTTACACTTTGCCTCAGCGATATATCAGTGACTAGAGACAAAAAAGACAAAAAAAAAAACATTAACATGAGAGTGAGAGTGTGTGTCCGATGGGAAACACGTTAGCACTTGAGTTGGACAGACAATACATGTGTACAGTGTCAGTTTCATTGCTATAAACATTCTCTGCAGTTCTCCCTTGCGAAAATGTGTGTTAACATTAGATGATGTCATGTTGCAGGTTCAACGTATTTATGTAAATAGAGGGTTGAGAGGGGGGGGGGAGGGGCAGGGGGTTCAAAAAGTTGCCAGACATTACAAGATTTATTTACTCACTAAATGAAAAAGCTATTATGCAACATTTGAAGGATTGTACAGGTAAACAGGCGGCCCCGATGCTAGATGTGTGGAACCTTTGATGAAGTTAGCGCTCCCCTGAACGAACAGAGCCGAGCGAGGACCACCCTTTGATCCGAGAGCTATGTTAGCGTAATCAAAACAACTCGGGATCTAGTATTAATATTCAGTGTTAATAAACAAACAAAAATGAAGAAAAAAAAACAATTGTACGATACACTTGCTTATATTTTCATATGAAAGGAATACAATGCAAAGCATTTTTGTGGCTTTTTGTAGTTTCTATAAGCCAGAATGTGTTTTTGATAGCTTTGCTAATAAGAGATGGATAGTTCGCCCAGAGGGGAATCGACAGGGCTTTGAAGTCCTAAGCCATGAAAACAGACTGAGATCCAATGCTTTGCTGAACTGTTTTATCTTTGTAGAGGTTTGTTTTTAAACGTGTATTTCTAATTAAATATAATAATGGTAATATTAAGAATCTTTAAAAAAAAAAATCTGTGAAATTAACATGCTTGTGTATAGCTTTCTAATATATAAATATATATACTAATGATTTCTGTTGGTTTCTTAGTGGAGTTTCTATGTGCAGTTGCACATGTTGTCTGGTTTGTTTCATTTGAGCCCTGAACAGTGGCGTTCAGGGCTGTATTTAGTCTAACCTTAAAAAAAACCAGCCGGGTAACATCGCCAGGGTTTGTAGCAGAGGAAAGACGATCCTGAATGCTGACAACAAAAAAACAAGCTGTTAGTGGAAGACGTCCGGAGACTGGAACAGGGGACGACTCCGGAATAAATGTTGACACATGATGGACAAGTCTGTCATACAGATGAGGAAATATGACTGACCCTTAGTCCAGATGCATTTGTATGCATTGGATATTTCATCCTGTAGCTTAATCATGATTCAATTACCTAATGAGAAAGTCCTTGACATTATCAATGATCTGCTGCATCTTCAAACCTGTGTTCAGCATTTTCGCAAAACAGCACAAACCCAAGCTAGACAATTTTCCCTTAAACTGCATTCATGTAAAATTATTTTGGTATCAATTGCATTGTGGGTAATTCTCCCTGATCATTTTTTTAAACCTAATTTGGTCCTTGCGTCACCTCGTGTTCCAGTCTTCAGAACAGGACCCACGTCCTTCACCACATGCTCAGCATCAGACACACAGGGACAGAATTGATCATGCTGGTAGGAAAGAAGCACAATTTGTTTATTTGAAATAAATAAATAGCTTGTTTTGATTATCTATTTTTTAAAAACAATGAAACTAGCCACATATCTCTCTGCCTCCCACTCCCGTATCTGCTGTCACTTAAGTGTTATGATATTTCTATGTGCATATTTCATGCAGGTTCACTATGTTGTTACTGTAAACAGTCTGTGTAGTCAAACAGGGGCAGAGCCTCTATAATGGTGTTCTTCTTCTCTCTTTTTTTTTAAAACTCAGTACAAAAACGGTTGAGAAAAAAAATGAACATGATGTTTCAGGCAGCGAAAAGTGTGGAGAAACCAAAGCCAGTGGCATTTCTGTGTTGTAAACTCAACTTTTATTTTCACATTCATTTATGGTTTTTGCAAGCATTGAAACAAGACAATAAAAGAATTTGCTCAAATGTACAATTGGTTTCACATTTCAATTTCAGCCAAACCACAACAATTCACTCCCCTCCCTTCCCTTGTGCAATGCATTACAATCATAAGAAAGACAGAAATGATATATCAACCTGTCCTGATGATTGACAAGAGTTCTGCAGTTCTGACGATCATTTCAACCAAAGACATGCAGAGAACTTGTCTTTATATTTTTGTTTTGTTTTGTTTTTTGTGTATGGGAAAATTTCAAACCTTATTTTCACCACCTGTTGATCAGATTTTCTTTATTGTTCATTATTATAATATAGATTTCATGTTGGTACCTCAGACTTGACACGCTCAGTACCTCAGCTGATGTTTTGCAGTCAAAAGGGGGAGACCATACAAGTGTACAGCCATGTGTAATAACCATGTTCTACCATTGCTTCAGGTCCCTACATTCACATGGGATTCTTTGTTGTTCCACCGTGTTTGTGGTTTATTTAAGTTGCATTCAAAAGCTGAAAAAAATAGTTTCTGAAAAAAATTAAGTGTGATATGTTACAAAAAAAAGTCAGTCTGTAGTATGAAATGTAGCTTGTATAAACCTGAAACTAAGGGAGGTTTGGAAATCATGTTTTGTGGAGCGCTAGAGCGGCTTTCAGCGGCATAAGCTGGCCTTTGTCGCCACTTGAGACTTAGATGGTTTTTAAATTAAATCCACATCTCTGTAACTCAAGAGACTTGATTCAGCTGTATGTAGTGGAAACGTCATGGGATGAAGTCAAAGTATCCTCTGCTGGAGGTGAAAAAGGCTATTTGTATTTTGCAGAGATTTCAGTAAAGTTACTGGCTTTCTTAGTTATTCTGACGTGACTCAGTGTGAATTCATTGTGTTTGACTGCTTTTTGCATGCTTAGCTAGTTTATGTTGCTTCAATAGGTCTTCAACTACTGGAAGTCAGTGCATGCAAAATAGCTTCATTTGAAGACAATATAAAGTATATGGGTCATGAAATATTAGTCAAAATGCATCATTTTCTATTTGATCTTTCAATTCACATTCTTTTTTTAACGTGAAATTTCAATATAAGTATTCATACTGAAGACATTGATTTGACATTTAAAGCCATGGTTTTTATTACAGTGGCCTCATCTCACACAGTGATAGAGTATACAATACACACAGTTCTTAAGTGAAGGAGAAAAAAAAAAACAGGTTCATAAAAAATGCAAACACAATGATCTGCTCCTACAAATTTTGCAACCCCTCCCAGCCCCACCCCTCTCTCTCTCTCTCTCTCTCTCTCTCACACACACACACACACACACACGCGCACTACGCATACGGCCTACTCCAAACCTTGTTCAATGAAAAATGGAAATTAAAAAAAAGGAAGCGAGATATCATTCAGCTATATTGATGTTTTTCTTCCCTTTATTCTTCCTTACTTTTAACAATCAGGTGGGGCTATGACGCAGCGAAATTAGATCGAACACATGAGAACTGCGTATTTAATCAAAATGGTGGCGCGTGACGCATTTCTGAGGACTGAAAATACAACAATCAGCAACAGAAATTGCACATTTATTTAGAGCCTGCATAGTTTCCCTTCGCGGTCAACACGCCGACACACGTTTTGATGTTTAGACACTTTTTTGTCAGTCATATTTTACTTGTGCTGGATTTGACGCGTCTTCTTAAGGCCTGCTGTAAAGTGTATTTCTCTTCTGCCCGCTGTTGTTCCATTTATCATCAAGTTAATGTGTTTTTAATTGAAGTGCATCTCTCAGCCTATCAAGTACAGTGGAACAATAAAACAATGGAACAAGCATGGAAGGCGAAAAATCTAGCCAATATATTTTTTTAACTCTCTGGCTCTGAGATGGTTCGCGAGCTTTACACACTGTTTTGAACTATTGCAGGATTTCTTTTTATCACGTGAAAAATAAGAACCTTGATTTTGTATTTTCTGTCTCTTGTATGATATAAACAAATTAGATCAAAGGTGCTATATTCAAACGTTCTCATTTAATTCCATTGTATTTGTTAAAGAAAAAAACATGTGCTCTAAGGGTTCCTGAACACTTATTTTTAGAACTCTGCATTGCAATGCAATGGCTCCTGGTTACCAAATGATTTCAAATGAGTCCAAATAAACTCCAGTTTTTTTTGTCTGTGTGTTCCTGTAATAATCTTGATTTGAGGGTTAGATTTTTTTCCATATATGTACAAGCATAAAAAAGAAGCCTGGCATCATGATTGGGTTTCTTTTGGAATCATGCCAGAACTAACAGGAGAAAAAAAATCAAACATAATCACTGGTAGGCGAAGCTTTAAAAGGTGGGTTATATCAGATGTTTTGGTTACACAATTTATACACGAACCTTTACTTTTTGGCGGAATGTGCAAAAAAATCATATAAAACGAAATCATCAATCGACTGAAACCCTTTATCGTCTACATCTTGGTTGCAAACTAACATTTATGACTCTTTTGAAAACTCTCTACAACATGATTTACGGTACTACGGATAGTTGGATGTAGTGTTATAACTGTAATGGTTTGTTTTAGTATCCAGGGGGCTGTGTCTGGAAAGCACATAAAGTAGTGTGTACAATAAAATTAATTACATGTCAGAACTAATCCATAGTGACAACACTTTTCACAGTTTCTCTAAAAGGTCAGACCGACGCAAGAAGACGCGTCACCGTTTGAAAAGACAAAACATCTGATCAGTGTCCGATTAAACCTGCAGACAAGAGGAAAATAAGAAAATAAGAAAATAAGAAAAAAAAAGAGTTAGGTTCGGAAAAACAGAAAAATGATAAAGGCGAATTAAAGGAAAAGGCTCAATTCAATATTATCCAATAATGTACAGAAAGCGGCCTTCATGAACATCTCCCAGTTGCTTTATTATGAAGGATCTTTGAAATCAGTCAAGCGTTGCATTACGCTGCGTTAATTGGGCTGCAAAACAAAACAAAAAGACTGTAAATTGTCAAACTGTTCATGTACATGCATTGTGTGAAAGGAATTCTAATATGCAAGTGCAGTGACAGAGAAAGAGGGCAGTCGTCATCATTCTCCAAAATCACCACTAGATGTCAGCATTTAGTCGCCCAGCTGAACCATGTCTATCTCTCATCTTCCTCTTCCTCCTCATCCACAGCCTCATCCTCAGTCTCTAAAGCTATTCGTGCAGATCGCAAAGAACAGTTTTTATAGTGAGGGTCATTGTGAGAGACTAAATTCCTCCTTTATCACTAAAACCTCCTCAAACGCAGGAAAATGTTCTTCATATTTCAAGTAAAACAAAAGAGAAATAGAAATCATACTAATACTAATTATAATAACAATTATTAGTACAAGTGTTATTGTAATTATAATAATAATAGATGAGTTTACATGAAAGAATGACTATAGATTGTTTTGTAAAAATAAGAATAAAGCTAATGATCGGTGCACCGTGTGGGAGACTCCTAACACCATTCACTATAAACCTTTTGGGGAATAAAAATAACCTGGATGCGTATTAATCTTGGAGGTGTTTCATTACAAATATTTCATAATAGTGTTTGCAGTGCCAGACAAGTCTCCTCTGTTCCTATTTAAGACTTAACCCTAAAACGCTGACGCCTGGCCTTAAATTGGAAAAAATTGTGTTTAAATGTGTTTTTCCCCCTCATATTAATTCAGGAAAAGTTTACGACGACGCTTTTGCTCGCTTCGTTTTAGAATAGTTTTTTTCAGCCAACCTTGTAGTCGAATTATTGGCTCATATATCTTGACCCCGTGTGAAAGCATATCAATATTGAAAAGGTTAGACAAATATAAAACATCCGTCGTTTTTGTTTGTCCTCGTTTTCAACCACATCATTTTCTGTTAAGGATTAGTTGTTGGTGTTTTTTTTGTTTGTTTTTTGTTTTTTGCGCACGCGGCCTAATTGGTCTATTAACACACAATGCCGTTTATAATGCTACCAAGTCGTTTCTAAAGAAACACGGAGCAAAGCCGAAGTCCATAAATCACACGATTGAAGTAAGCGTCAATAAACAGCGGACCTCTCCTCATTCCAACCTATTTGAAGAATACTTGACTTCTTGACTTTTTCTTTTTCAAACAAGCCTTTTTACAGGCATGGCCCCTGAAATGAAGGTCTGCCCAAAACGTCGTTGTTAACGAATTAGCCACGAGTCATCCATTTTTTTTTTACTCGAAAGGTCTCTCACTACAGCAGAAATATACTTTACTTGGTCTGCGTAATTATCTACAAACACACACACACACACACACACACACACACACACACACACACTCCTTTCACGAGCCATCCCCATAAACCTGCACTTGCCGCAGCCTGTCATGAAAACAAAATAAACAACGTCTTATTGTAAGAGTTATGCTTTGGTTTTGTGTAACGCAGAAACGTGAGACACATACGAGCTCGGTCATTGTCGACTTTGAAGATAATCCAAGGTGTGTGTGAGTGTGTGTGTGTGTGTGTGTGTGTGTGTGTGTGTGTGTGTGTGTGTGTGTGTGTGTGTGTGTCCTTCAGAATTTGTTAGTTGTTGATGTAAACGAGGGTAATACAACAGAGGGTGATGAGTGAACTATTTAAAATTACATTCTGGAAAACAGTAAAAGTACCCTTTTTCCTTATAAAAAACGTTAAGTTCTTCCAGAGTTATAAGCCCAGCATAGGTGTGGTACCGGACTCCTGTGGCTTTGAAAGTGTTTACGTGTGCCAGCCTGACCACTAGTGTTGAGCCACGAGCAGATTGAGAGCAGGGTTCAATAAAGAGGGGAGTAGCCTATAGGGACTGCATCAGCTCAGACTGATAGCACAAAGTTTGTTCTGCTGGAAAACGTCCTAACAACTTGACAGAAACGTCGCGCGTAAAGCACAGAGTTGCAGCAGCAGGAGCACCTTTGGGTGGTGTTAATTGGAGGTAAGTTCAAACGTTTGATTCAGGGCTCTCAGTGCAGATCAGAGGTTGGAGATGCACTAAGTGAAATTTCGTAAAAGAGAAATGTGATAATAAAGATACTTAAATGGAAATCCTTTGTATTTTAATTATGATATCGTTGTTTAAATGTTTCTCTAAGTGCACTGCACTTGCATGCGCGCCCCTGGCACCACTGAGCGCGTGCACGGACACCGAGGAGACAGCCTGAGCAATTGTAGCCTAAATGTCAGCGCTGCGTCACTGGCTTTCTTACAAACTGGGCAGGAGACTTTTGGATTGATATGTTCTGCACTACCTGGCTGTGTCTTTCTCTTATTCTGAGCTCGATCTGAGGTATCACCTCAGATTTACCTCTGCAATTCATCTATTGTTTGCCCTCCACAACAGAGCTCTTTGTTCATGCATGCTGGATTTGAGTATTCAAAGGCTACCGCCGATTTACATCATTTAGATAAAAGAAAAATTTAACTTATAAGAGCAAATGCCAAAGATTTCATGTGTTTGCATTTAATATCACGTTAGCATACAATTTTAATATGAAATCAGTAATTTTACGTGATAAATGACATCGCTATAACATGCATTACAAGGTCTTTACATCTACACGAAGAATGATGCCAAAACAACACAAATCTTAAAGTGCTTAATGCAAATCTACCCACTGAATATGCATCAATATTGAAATAATACGCACACCAGAGCCAACGGCGTCCGAGCATTGAGAATGGCGGAGCGGGTCTTCTTATTACGCATGGGCGGCTTTCCACGCAGGAGCCTCGGTTCCCCTTCTCTTCATGTCTCGGCTCCATCCCGGTCACATTAACGTAGCCTCTTGGAAAAACAAACAAGGCTAAGTCGGCTCTCAAAACGACAAACACCCAAGACCCGGCTGGGGGGAATTACTCCGACTGCAGCGGGGCGGACTATGTAGTAAGCGGGATTTGCATATTTGGATGCGCTAATTGCCTTGATGTATTTAAATATGGCTGCACGTAGCTGATATACTTGTCTACGTCATTGAACGTGCCCTCGCTGTTAAACTAAAACGTGAATCCGGTTGAATCTAATGGATACGCCTGCAATTAGAAATAGAAGGGGGAGTTAATGTAAGAAATTATGCTTTTCGTTCTCATGTTTTCTATCCTTATTTAGTCAGTTTAGAGGCTTTTCTGACATTCAGAGAAACAATATGACTAAAAGAGAAAATCATTTATGTTTGTATTTTTAATTGGTGAAAATCACAACAGTGCAGGTCTAACCTGACGCCTTTGCGTCAATGATGGGGGAGAAGTGGTTTGCTTGTAGAGTAAAGCGCTCTAACTTGCCTCGCAGGAAAAAGTCGAGCAATATAATTTATTCACTAAAACAAAAAGAGTGTCATCACCAAGAGAATTAGCTGAAGACACGGGATTGCTGTTAGGCTATAGACAAGTAGGTCAGCTCATTCTAACTTTTTTGTTTGATAGATTTCTCTAATCTTTTTTTTTGCCTTCTCTCTTTTGGCTCCTTATGTGTCCTTACTATGGGAGGGGGCACGCGCGCGCTTGAGTCTTATCAGATAACCCCTTATTAGGCTTCTGGGAGCAAGGTGGAGTCCAGTATAGGCCCACAGTGAAAACACAGATCCAATAAAAGGCTTGAGTGAACTTTAAAGTTCTGTAGTTTTTCTTCCTTTTTATTATAGGATTAAAGGCCTCATTCTAGACTGAGTTTGGGAATTGCGTGTAGCAAACCTGCCCACCCCCCTGTCTGAAAACTCGTTGAATGCGTTCCGTTTGTCAAAGCGTGTTAGCGTGTACGCCTGCAGCAAATTCATTACCAGCCAACTACGAGGCTCACTTCGTAACCTGGTCAGGGAAACCGGAGGGAGAGGTCCACGCCAAAAGCGCGAACAATGCCGCCTCAGTTCGTGCGTGCAACAAAAGAACCGAGGGAACTTGTTTGAATTTCAGAGCACGTCCTCTGCTCACACAGAAGGATGGACTTTACATCCCCTCCTAGCCCCCACCACTCCTCCACCTCCTCCTACCCCCCATCATCATCATCATCATCACCACCCTCTCCCTCCTCATCCCACCCCACCACCACCACCAACAGGGAGAGAAAAAAAAAACTTGCACACTCTGAGAGCTCAACTGTGCATGCACTTTTGTATTTGGTGCTTGAAGACGTTCTGGGAAAGTTGTGTCTCTCCTTCTCCCCATCCCTGCCTGCTTCTTCTTCTTCTTGTTCTTCTCGTCGCCAATCATGTGCTTGGGATATGCTCATGCTTTGCACAGAGCAGCCGAAGCACGCCTAAAGCCGGCTGCTGATTGTTAGCGGCAGTTTTAAACTGATGCACCACCACCAAATAACACGGCTGGGATCTTTGTGGAGAACATATACCACATCACGGTTCACACGGACGCAGCCGCGCTTCTCCTGCTTGGGACGCTTTCTGACCGGCTGCTGTGGTTTGACTCTCCGTTAGGAAGTAAGTCCAACTTTTGTTGCTGCTTTAAAAGCAACCGTGTGCGTAAAGGTTTTCCCATGTGTGCAGAAATTGAAACCCAGGCCAAGGCTCAGAAACAAAAATGCGATTTGTTTCGAGTTGCTTATAACTAATAGTGTTTGTAGAGACACAAGCAAATTTGAAATTAGGGCAGGGAATGTTTCCCCACACACTTTGGGAGAGAGCATACGCTCAAACTGACCGGTTACAAAGTGAACACTTTCTTCACGTGTGTATTATATTTTATCAATGATCATTTTAATATTTGATACTTTATAGCAGGTTTAAAATGGTACAATTCAGCTTTCTTCGGTTGACCTCACTTAAGACTTTTATAGTCAGTAGCCTATTCATACAGAAGTAGATGCTTCTTATAGCTACCTGTTTCTTTTCGACTTGGTTATTTTTAGAAAAAGGAATCTCTTTTTTTAGGCTTGTTACATCCACATCATCATTTTTATCAGGCCCATTTGTGAAACACTGCAGCTGTAGTTAATGTGGATTCGAACAGTGAGAGAAATGTGAATTTTGTGTCGATGTAACTTAACATGGAATGGAGAGGCATATCTAAGCACACAAACACAATTCAATCACATGAAACCGCCACACATTTTCTGTTGTAATGCTTTGAAAAACACAACCTAAAGGTTTGCTCTACATTGACTGAAAAATGTCACACACACAAGGCGTTAATTGTATTATTTAACTATTTTTACGCACGAAAGCTTTGTTTGCTCAAATAGATAATACGAATATAATCGCGCCCTCCTGGTACATTTCTTTGCCTTTTCTAGACCCAAATCATCAACCTTCATTGAAAAAACAACGTAATATGATTTTAAGAGGATCAGCAGGTTGTGAGTTTTAAAACTGGTGTGCGGTGATTAGTGCATGGCCTCTGTGTGGGAGGCCTATTCTGAAGCCTCCTTTACCCTAATGAGCAATGCTTTATAATGCTGATCGAAATGATGACAAGTTGGCCATACAGTCTACTCTCCAGAACATCCTCATCAGGGGGACGGGTGATTTTGGATGTGCAAATATTTGCGATGCATTAATATAAATGTAGTGACTTAATGTTCATGCGTAAATAGTCTTTTTTTATGCTTCATCGTTAACCATTAGGACACATTCAGGTGGCTGGCTTTTACGCACAATACGGAATATGTGATTTTAAATGGTATGACTCGAACATAATGCTATGGCTGCACAATTAAAGTACAAAGTGGTGTAGATAGGAAGTATACCTTATTGACAGGCACAGGCCCTGTGACTCATATTCGCTCATTAAGACACCTCTGCTTGGCCCCTCCCACACACAAGACCAGAGTAAACTTGAGAGCCCTATTTAAAACTACAGCGAGTGAATTGGACACCTGGAGTACATGGGGGTGCTGGGGCCATTAAAAAATAAGATTAATTTATTTTACAAAATGATCGTTCATTTATCCTGTAAGAAAACACACACACCCAGACGCACGCGCGCACGCACCCACACACCCACATACCCACACACACACACACACACACACACACACACACACACGCACACATACACACACACATACACACACACACAAACACACACACACACACACGCACGAAAACTCAGAATTAAACTTTATTCCTTCTAATTGGGAGAGCTATGGTCCACACATAATCAAAGTTGTGCACTCGGGATGTCATGAAGTGACTTGGTAACCTGCAGCTTCATGCTCCTGCGCATGATCCATCACATGTTCCGCTGCCTGTTATTGTTGACTCAGTTTCAAAGATCCCATACATTGACCCATTTGTGCTGAGCCAATAACTATACTTTCATATCTGTGGGGGGAAAAAACACGCGTACAGGATGAAGCGCTCTGGCTTTATTCCGCTGTGAGGGGACTTCTTCTTCGCAGCCGAATACCATTGTAGTCTATCTACCCTTCGGATGCGACGATGACAAAAACACACGAGGCTAGTAAGGATATCGACGCAAAAATCGAGAACGTGAGAGCATTTGAACTCCTAGGATGGTAGGTCATGTATGAGAAAAGGAGCAATAATCAAGAGAGTAGCGTGTTATTGCGAACCGAATATATCGCCTTCAATGGATAGACGGAAGATGCAGGCGCTCGTGCTGCCCCAGGATGCTCTCTTCATTGGGCTGTTTATTGCTTACTAGGATCTAAATCTTTACGCATATCCCAAAAGCAGTTGAATCGCTCTCTTTCTGTTTAAAAAAAAGCCTTTGGTTTCCCTGTCATCCATTTTCATCCCTGTGTGAGAAAGAAGGCAGACAGCTCGATGCGAGGCGGACTTATTCCAGCGCGCGCTGTGTAATGGATGGATGGAGATTGTGCATGGAAAGGAGGGTGCATTTGCGTTTTTTTTTCATGACATCACCGCTGTAACATTGTCGTGGTCCGAGGCCTTTGACCTAACCGGGGTTGGTCCATATTTTGGCCACCCCCAGCCCCCTATCGTTTGGGGATGGCCCTTATCCCCCCCCCCCCCCCTCTCCACTCTCCGTTTAGACCGAGCGACCATGCAACCTGCAGAACGGACCCTTTGGTTCAGAGTCTCTGGCTTCTGGATGTGAACGGACAACCTGACACTCTTTGGGCTAAAAACCAAGGTCTTGTCTTTATAATCCGACACATTTGCGTCTTAATTCCCTGTGCCGTTATTGCACTTTTCACAGGAAACCGGATTTCCCCCCTCTCCGCCGTGTTTCTTCTCCGCCGGCCTCACAGGATATCTATTGCTGCTGCCACAACGACTTAATAGAGGCGAAAGAGCCTTTTGTGGGATTGGAGCTATTTGCATTGCAAATTAGGGCCCCTGTGCAAGGATGACTGCACCTTACCCGCGATTTTCAAGGCCTGCTTCAACTCAGTAATATTGCTTAATGTCAAGTGACTGTGACATTAACATTTGGGATAATATATCATTTTTCCCACAAGATTTGCCGCCTTTTTACACCAGGTGTGTGACAGTCCTGCCTGTGCTATAGTGGAAACATAAGGAATATAATACACAATGTGAGTTGAATGAGGATGCTGAGGACTTTTCCTTATATATTTGAGTTGTGAGAGGTGGAAACTTGGAGCCCAGAAGAGGAAATTTACATGTGGATTATTGCTGAAGACAGGGAAGTGGGTTGTTATCTTTGGTTATCTAGCTGTATGAGTGTTCTGCTCGTCATAAAGCTAGATAACCGAAAGTAAAAACTACTTCCAGACTCGTCGAGGACTCATGACATATTGCTCGATTTCCCCGTGGACCAGAGAATGAAGATGCTATTGTTATTTATATCTTTAACTTTATTAAGATTTTTTTTGTTTGTTTGACTATGTCGTTAAAGTTTCCTATTTATCACATATAGGCTACAGAAAAGAACTCTGATTATTTAAATTTATAACTTTTTTAAAGGATCATATTTCACATCATTGTTGTACAGTCAACCATCTACATCATTTAAATGTTAATGAAAACACACACACACACACACACACACACACACACACACACACACACGCATACACACGCGCACACACACACACACACACACACACACACACACACACACACACACACACGTTAATATTTATAGCATAGGGCATTTGATCCTTTAACATAAGGTATCATTTTACATTTTAGTTAACTTAAAATTTTAACTCAGGCATATGTTGAGTATTTATGTGAAATAGTGACATTTAGGGGTTGTTCCAAAATCCACGTGTCACTATTATTTCTTTTTTTTTTCAGCATGACAGAGTCGAGCCAGGAAACGGCTCTGGCATCCTAAACAGTAATAATTAGGATGTATGGTGAACTGACAAAACTAGAGACAGAGAGAGAGAGAAGGAGAGAGAGAGGGGTGGGGGAGTGTGGGGTCAGGAGCAGGAGGGAGGTGACAGAAGAGGGAGGAGAGGGGGGGGGGGTGAGTAAGGGGATTGGGGAGACGTGTGTGTGTGTGTGTGTGGGGGGGCCGGGCCTGCTTAATTGATTCCGTTAACCGCAGTGCAGGAGATGTGAACGACTGGACGATCCCATTCCCACGCTCGGTGGGGCAAGTGGCAATGCCATACCCCGGCCCAATATGACAGACAGCGCCGTGAGGGCCTGAAGGGGCTGGGAGGGGGGGCGACAGGGGTCATGAAAAGACGTCAAGTGCACCAGACTCATCTGCATCCCCAAAGAAAGAGGCGACGTTTCCCAGCCCCAGCCGACGCGGCGCTCCTAAACTTGGAGTAGTAACGGTCCTCCTGAATGCGTAATGTCTCGCCAATTGTACTGATAATGAGGACTTTGGGTCATTATCTTAAAACTATGCGGGTTTATGAATCTGAAAGGGATGTGCTGCAAATCTGTAATCCTGCATATGCCCCTCTAGAGCGCGCGGATCCAGCCGTTTTACAACTCGTGAGAATTAGCGAGGGCGCAGATAATGTTGCACAAAGAAGTCTGGGGAATTTGAATAAGTGACATCGGGGCGCTTTGTTTGTATTTGAACTTGACCGTGGACAAGAGCAATGTGAGATTAAAGTTGCTGCACGACAATTTACGAGAACTGTGTTTTTAGAATATAGGTGACATAACACATTTTTGGAAAAAATATAGAAGTGGTCTAAATTCAAAACCTCTACTTTCATAAAGTTTTTAAAACAATAAAACATCATCAGTTGATTTAAAACGTTTATTTTATGGATTTTGATAATTTTACAAAAAGGTCTTCATTAGACATTTTTGCACTTTTAGCAGTGGTGCTTTAAGTTGGACATAAAAAAAGTTGTGTATTTTTCCAAAGCTTACACACAACTTGAGGAGGCTGTTATGAACTTGCTGACTGCTGGATCTGTCAGATGACAGGCTGTTTCCGGCTCAGACCACGTGCTTAAAACTGGCTTGCTTATTTTAATAACGCACTCTGATATTGTATCTCTTTTTTATTTATACTCATTGCAGCTTCAGTGAAAGTGTGTATGTCTCTGAAA